CGGCTCAGATACATTCTGATGTTTTTGCTGAAAGATAAACTATGCAGAATTAGCATTCAGACCTTTATTCAGGCTATAAGTATTTCAGTGTTGATTGACTACATACATTGAAAAAACCCACAAACTTCTTTTTTCTTTGCTCTTATGCATACAACTGTAAAATTACCAAATATTAACAGTTGGAACCGGAGGAAAAAAGGTGGTTTGTTTTTTTTTTTTTCGCCCCCACTGGAAACTTATGATCTGTCTCCTCTGCAGCCCACGGGGAAGCAGCCGGCTACTGAGCCTGCTGAGATAACAGAAACCTCAGCCACAGCACATGGAGAGTGTCTGGGAGAAGTTTATCTCCTCCCAAACCTGGGTGAGCTCAGCAGTGACTGAGCTGGGAGGCTGCAGCAGGGATGAGATCCTGGGTCGGGCAGGACTGCCCACCGCCTGCTCACCTCCAACAGCTCAGGCTGCTGAAGGGTACTAAGGAAGAGTTATATACCAAGCTAATGACCCCAGCTGAATTATACGCATCATACATATTTATATAGACAACATTTTTAGTTTAAAACCGAATTTAAAAGTGCTTAATGTAAGTTTGGCCTACGTCTCTTTATTGAAATCTTTGATGTAAATGAGAGTTCCCATGAAGCCAATAGCTCCGTTTTGCACGTTCTTCTTTTTCTCCCTCCAAGGAACGTTATCCCAGCAGGAGATGTTAAATAGACTACAATGTGACCAGAATTTCACCCATTCACCAATACTTGAAGGGAATTCCTAAACACCTTAAGAACTAAGCCTGCTGTAACATGAAACTAGAGCAGCTAATAATACAGCCTTTGTTTTGCCCACGCTTTACTAATGAAGGTCTCTATCAGCTGTGATTTATTGAAAACAATTTTTACAGCATCAGGAGAATAAAAATAATAATGAAAAATACATTAAAATAACTTTTAATCAACCAAGAAGCAGCTCACATTATTTTACTGTATATTCAAAGTCCAAACATTGGCAGCAGTGAATAGGCATTACAGTTACAGGAGAAGCTAAGGAAAAAAAAAATAAAGAAAAATCTTCTGTTTTCACACAAGCTAATTAGATTAGTCAGAGTCCTGCAACAAGTGCATGTGCTGATTCCAAGAGAAAAACACACATTTCATTACAGTTGCGTGTTCCCATACTATGGCAGCAAATTATCTGAAGGTATGTATCTTTGAACATTTGCTATACTAAGAAACTCTTAAGTTTATACACCAAGTGTTTTAATTCCAGAGATGAAAACTCTTCTGAACTTCATAGAAATGGGAAAACAAGAATATTATCTAGTGAAAAAGAAGACGGCAGTAGTTTGACCTGGCAGGGCTGAAGGTCTGTGTTCCCCACGTCCCTGCCGAAAGCCGCGTGCTGTCGCTGCCCCGAGTCACCCAGATCCCACGGCTGGGACGGGGGGAGCTCGGGGGGCCTGGGAGCACCCTCAGAGCTCTCCTGCCCCCCAATGCTCCCCTTCACGTGCACCTGGACAGTACCTCACAGCTGCTTTACGTTATTCCTTTTGTTAAGCTGCCACCAGTCTGTATTTTCAAGCAAAATTCGTGGTGACCAGAGGCTCAGAACCGTACTACAGCAAATGCCTTTTCACAAACAGAGAACCCCAACAGCCTCATACTTGTGCCTTAGATATTGTGCCTTAGATATTGTGGCAAATACAGTTTTCCAGTAGAGATTTTTTCTGTAAGTCCTCCCCAAAATGTCTTACCAATAAGACGTATGCCTACCAATTACTGGCAAGCCAAGCTTTTTTCATTTCAGAAAACTTTCTTTTTACAAGATCCTGAAAGACTGTAGGAAAGCAAGATAATTAAAAGCGTATATGAAATCTCAATAATTCAGATTTTAATTATTCACTCACCAACAGAGTGATCTTTGTATGGCACAGTTTTTATTCTCTCATACCAGAACAAACAACCCAAACTTTTCAACAGTTCATATAGGTAATGGAGATAACTTAGTTTCAACTGAGAAAGAATTTAGAAGAGTGTCCAATTCTAACACTCTGAAACGAACTCTTTAATGTGCTGCAGGGAGATTTTCTAAAACAGATCTTCATGCTTCTTTACAGTTAATGAACAGTCACTAGAAGGAAAGTCAGAAAATGTGGAAAAATTGAAGGCATAACGTACTGCTCTTGCCAAGACTCCCACACTATTGGCTCTAAATACCTAAGTGTGCTCACAGCTAAAACTTATTGTTCATAATTTGGCCCAATACTGTTAAAGCTATGAGGCAACTACAAAATGATACAAAGTATTAAGAGATTTATCTCTAATTCTATCACGCATTATGGTAATAAAACTGAATACTTCTGCAGACAGAGGGTAAATTTTCTATTTTTAAAGCTAGCCTTTAAAACTGGAGTAACTCAACCCAAAGCAAATATAAGTACAGAGCTTCATTTAACAAAGTTCAATTTATTTTTACAGCACTTAGTGAAGGGAAAACATAATTTCATGCCTATTTGGCTTCTCTTTTGCCTCCCTGATTTTTTTCCAAATAGTCAATTTAGCTCATGAACTTTTTTCTTTGAACAATAGACTGCAACTCTTATGCAAAGAAACAAGAACCACAGGGTTCAGGTAGAACAAAAACCAGCTCACCCAAACCTACTACCTACTTTAACATATGAATAGAAACCTTTATGTCTAAAAACATGACAACATCAGTAACAGGCAAAATACTCATGCACAGTCAGATTAAAAACAAATATTAGAGTGGAGAACCCCAAACACTTGCAGATTATTTGCTTTATGTCATTTTTTCCCCACAAATTCCTTTCAGTGTGCTGGACAAGGAATTTTATTTCAAAGGGGAAAAACAAAAAATCTCAAACCCCAAATCTGTCTGCAATCCACAACATGGAACCACAAACTATCTTTATCTGTTAATTATGAAACACTCCTGCAAGATAGCAAATGATTTTATTATAGATCTATCTGGAAACAGATGTGAGAGCAATTAAGTTTTCTTTTTTCATTATTGCCTTATTAGTATTTGGCATTTCACTAGTGCCTTGGTAGCTCTGAAGAGTGAAAGACGTATCAGTGTGCAAACCTCTATCTGAGCAGAGCTCAACTCTTGCTCCTTAGAGCTCAACCTCCCGACATCAGGAATGTCATGACACAGCAAAGATGGCCCTGCCACCTCCAAAACAAGCTGAACAGAAGAATTTAGCCGTTATGATTGCAGCTCTGTTGTCACAGCTGTCATCTGGAGATCTGGAGGTCACTTACCTGGCTTGAGGGAGTCACCCTGGGGAACTCCAGTGAGCTGCTCAGATTTAGTATCTCAGTCAGCGGCAGACCCTGCTACTTCTGTCATATTATATTCCCACTACTCCAGAAACACCATCACACCAGGAAGAAAAGCAGCACACTTCAGCACTGTGAACCTCTCAGACACAGGTGGGTCAATGACTCCAGAAGGTTTGATTTTGCAATTAGTGAGATTGCTAATACGATGCAGCTGAGCTGAGCCCAGGCAGCAGGCAACTTGTGCCAGGCTGAGCAAAGCCCACACCAAAGCTCTCGCTCCTGTTCTCTCTTCCCATGGCTGATCTTTGCCATGTCTTTCACATGCACCAAAGTGAGGGGCTCGCACTGTTCCAACCCAGACAAGGGCATTTCTCAGGAACAGATAGAGCAGCCACACATCCATCTGACAGCGGTAAGCGCTGCGCTGCACAGAGCTGCAACAGCCACAGGCAAAATGAGAAAAAGTGTTCAGCATAAAAATCTTCTCTTTTCATACAACACGTACATTAAATCCAGAGCAGAGAAGTCTAAATCTGCATATAAATATCTATCACCAGTAATCATATGCTACATTAAAAATACGTGTAATTTTGTGTATTTTCTACACAATCCAAAGCCTCAGTCCCACCTTCCTATGCAAGGAAAGAGGAAAGACAAAAAATGTTCAGTGAGACAACAGTTCAGTGCCTTTCCTTTATTAGCACCAGAATTTTTATGTAAGGGATATGCACAAATGAGACCCACATTTTCCTACTTAAAACATAAAGGTCTCTATTGTTCCATGTTTCACCAGTACTGCTATGAAAACTTAATTTCTCCAACTTTTTTTCCTCTTGAAGAACAGAACTACTGTTCACTTAGCTGTTCCAAACAGAATGCATGCTCAAAGGGTGAGATAAGGGGAAAGAAAGAACAAATTACCACATTCATTTACTACTTTCTCCTTCTTCCTTTGATTATTAGCATGAAAGCTTCCTACAAATGCCCATAATTCATTACATTATTTTAACCCAGTGTATACATTCAACGGGTCCATATATTTGTCACATCCACGGAGTTAATTTCTATGTTTGTATTAAAGCCATATATAATGCCAAATAAGCCAAAAACACATGGAAATATTATTGCAGAAATAATATTTGACTCTAAAATAACAGAAAACTAATGCTCAGAATGCTTGATGCATATTATACATAAAGAGGTTAAATACAAAGGTTGATAAGAAGGAAAATATTTGTAGTCACCATTTTGAAGAAGAAAGACTTAGAAACATGTGGTTTTAAGCTTTTTCTGACCATAAGCAAACATTCTGTGCATGGCAATTGCACAGAGTGCTTTACTGTGCCAGTTAGGCTTTTGTTCATTTGTAGGCAGAAGTTTTCCTATTGAAATGATTATTCAGTGAGTATTTATTACATTTATTTCAGAATTTCTGTGTGTACTACAGAAAAAAATTTCACATTAAAGCCCGCACCCCAAAATGCTATACATTTTAAATCCAAATGAATTTTAAAGGATAAGAGTATATTCTTCTAAAAAGCAGTGTTCAATATGAGGTTCAACGTGCTTAAGTGAAATATCCTTTTCAGTGTTACGAAGTGTTTGGTAGTTGAAGGCTTTTTTTTTTTTTTAATGAAAAGGTCATCAAGGTATCAAAACTTTTAAATAAATAAAGGAAAAAAACTAAGACTATGAAACTCTTACCTCATACCATAAAGACTTCTCAAGAAAGGAATGAAATTCCCATTTTATTAAGGGCTGAATTATAGTTAGCTGTTCTGTCATAATCCTAGAAAGCTTCAAGCCACTGTTGTTTCTCCTTTGCTCAACGTAATTCCAAGCAGCGTTTCCTATGTGTCCTGAAGGTAAAGTCCTGACAATTGCTCTCGTTCCAGTATAAACTGACTTTTTAACCTCTTTATCATTTTTACAGAAACGTCTTATTAATAAAGTAGAACGTTCCTTTTTGTTTCTAAAAAAATCCTCTTCCATCTCTTCTTCACAGTTATCATTACAGTCTTCAAAATGGCTCAGAAAGGGTTTTGAGGGCATTCTTCCAGTAAAGTTATTTCCACAGAAGCTGTGACCTGCACAGGCCACTTTAACCTTTCGAGAGGCTCTTTCCAGACAGAAATACTTATCCCGTAAAGCGTCCTCATACAACTGCTGCCCGTTCTGGTTCTCACAGTGATTTGCCAGCCCCACCAACCTGCAGGAGCAGGCGGGGGGAGCGCTGGTGGGGCCGTCGCTCACAGCCTGCAAGCAGTCACCCAAAATGAAGCCGTTGTGCAAACCACACAGAGCCTTGGACACGTTCCTGTCGCTAGCACAGTGAAAGTGAAAAAAGGCCACTTTATCAGCATCGTTGCTGTCATTCTTATTTACTGCTGTCTGGGTTCTTAACGAAGGTCCATTCATGTTCAGCTGTATTTCAGCAAGCATGGCTCTCTCCAGTGACACGGGAATTCCAGTTTCCAGGCACGCCTCTGCCCCCGCTAAAGGATCACAAGGTTTGCACAACTGGCTGCATGGGATATTACTCTTGTAGTTTTTCTGTACAATGTTACAGTTAACGTTAAGAAATTCCACTGACTCAGGGATGGAGCTGCTCCTCTCCCAGAAGTTTTCATTACCATTGTCATTAGTCTGTTGTTCTTCCGCCAGAGAGAGAATTTTGGGCACGGAGCCCTGAAGACTTTCTCCTTCGAGCTTGTGTGAGTAGGAGAGCACGGCTGTGGCTGGCTGCCCCGGGCTGCCAGGGGGGCTCCTCATAACGCTGGTGTCCAAGGCACGTTCAGCCTTCTCCTCTGCAGCTGATGGAGGGGGGATCGCTTCACCCCGCGCCGCAGAGACCAGCACGGACGCCGTCATCTCCTCCGAGGTCATCCTGACACCCTCTTCTGCTGGGGACCGGGGGGGCCTCGTCTACCAACCCTCACACCATGTTTTCAGCGTGATAAAAGGCTCAGTGCTAAATAACCAGGGAGCTCGGTCCAATATACATTGACTGCTTGTTCTTCTTGAACCGGGTTTTAAAAGAAAAGTAATGTTTTCCACTGTCGGGCTACTGGGCTTCCCCAGCCTTGGATCACTGGCACGAGATACAAACATTTGTAAACCAGCTCCTTATCGTGACGTAGCCACTCGCCTTGTCCCTTCCCACAGTTAACTCCTCTATCGTTTGTAGCACACACACTGTTGCCTGGGGCTGTAGAAGACGACCAAACACATCATCCATGTCAAAGACGCAACCTCCCACAGGGCATCCAAAAAGTTGGGTTTCTGTAAAGAAAAGAAAAAAAAAAATATATAAATATTGAACAGAATCCATGGCACAAAATCCACCATAACACCTACAACAGAAAGAAGTTTTTTTATGTAAAGAGAAGGAATACAAACCAACAGAAGTTAATTATCCTGAGACCTAGAGAATTCCAAAATACACATTTAAATCTATCTTAAAGCCCCACTTTACAATCTGGGGAACTGACAGTCATGTTTTACCTATTTAAAGAGCCATCTTCACTTCACTACAGAAAGTTACGTGACTGCAGAAAACTAACTTTACTGTAGCTGTAACACTGAAACTGAACGTACAAGATACATACAAAGAGAAAAAAGGAAATGTCTTTTCTATCATTTTTCTACTCGTATCCAGGATCAGTTAAAACTTTTTGAAGAACAAAAATAATTTTTTAGCCTACACTGTCTTTTAAAACTAATTATTTTCAGAACTGAACTCTATCACAACTACAACTGTTTTGGTGTTACGTGAGTTTTGTTTTCATTAAACTTTGTGTTACCATGAAATTGTGAGGAAAATACAGTATTTTTGCCAGAAGTTTATGACTGAAAAAGCACAAAGGCAGAGTAGATTAAAGAATGAAATATTATCAATAATCTTTTTGACCCCTTTACTTATATGCCTTAAGCTAAAAAATTAACCCTCCCTTCAAAGTTGCCATTAATTCGCAGCTTCTTTCCTGCAAACAGCACGGTAGAAGTACATCTGGGAATCAGAAAACAAGAGGTTACAGATAGTTCAGCAAAGGAAACAGAGAATAAAATAGACACACCCAGATAAACCATGGTGATTTAAAATTAAAATAGATATATGCTTATATTTCAATTTATCATATTTAATGTCTAAAAAAATTAAGTGTATTATTAAAGATATGGAAAATGCAGAAAGATATAGGAAGGCCTAAGTTTAATAGAACAGTCTAAATTCAATAGAAACAAGAAAAAAAAATACGGCTCTGAAACTTCAGTAGCATAATATATCACAAAGCTGAGGCAAATCACCGGCCAGGAACAGCAACCTGATCACTGCCCTGAGCCAGCAGCTGCTGACCCAGCACCACCTACGTGAGCAGAGGGACCACCTTCTGCAGCTCAGCTGCGCACAGGAATTAAATCAGCTGTAGTTGATAAAACAAATAGGAACAATGGGAGGGATCAAATACTGCCACAGCACAACGGTAAAGGAGATACGAGGAGAAACCAACACCCAAGCAATTCTTTCAGTCTGTACTCCCTGATAGTCTCTATACCATTACATTGTACCCTGAAAGTCATTTTAGTTCACTTTCTTCAATTTTAACTATTTCCCTTAAAAAAAAATATCCCAGAACAACACACACGCACAAGAGGAAAGTGTCTCAGCAATAACCTTATTCTACCATTTCCTACCCTTCTTCCCTGCTCCTCCTTCCTCTTCAACCCCCCAGGTAACAGCTTCCCTAACCTTTCACCACTGCACACTTGAAGAAAACTGCAAGCAATCCATCTAGGAATGTCCCCATCGTATTTCTTCTGGCAGCCATCCACTGCTCTCGAGTCCAGACCTACACACGATCCTGCCGATAAAAGCACAAAGATCTAGGAGGAGCCAGAACAAGAAGCAGCTGGGTTTTTTCTTGTTTTCTTACTCTTAAGTTTCTTTTTTGCTATATCAACCCTGTAAAAGGTGTAAAACATATACATGGCTCAGTAATAGACTTCAGTACTGATTTTTGAGAGATTTCTCTCATCCTTCAAAACATCTCAGCCTACTGATTCATCTTTCCTGTCTGCACCAGAAAAATTCCAGGCAATCCAATGAAAATACAAACCAACAAAATATATTCATAAATGTACTCCATGTAATATTGCTAAGCCAAGAATAAAAATTAAAGGAATGGATTGTCAGTGGAAAGAATATACCTTTTATTGCACTGGTCGCCAATTAAATTCTTACAAAACAACGTCACTCCACAAGGCAAAACACACAACCTCATTACACAACTTTAACATCACACAATGAGTCTGAGACAGCAAAACTGACCATGCACATTAACTTGAATTTTTTTACATCATTCTTTACAGAGAAACTTTTTTTTAAAAAAAAATCATATCCCTGATTTGCTTCTGTAAGCAGAAAGCTGCTAAAATCTGAGGTGCATTTATATCTGAGACTCTGTCCACAAAGCTCATTATGAAGCCAGGACTGCTCTTCCACACTCCTACTTCCTTCAGTACCATCCTCACACCTCTCTATTACGTGTTCACATGTATCCTCCTCAAACTGCTCCTCTCAGATCTTTTTCTTTTCTCTAGAGACTTTACCTCACATCTTCCCCGTCAGTGGTTTTGTCAGTCGCCTGTCTCCTCAGCCCAAGGCCACACGCCTGCCTGTCTCTCTCTACCAGCATCACTCTATCTGGGCCTACGTTTGAAACCCATCCCATCCAGAATAAGGTCTGCCTAAGAAGATCCCTGCCCATGCCCAGCTGTTCCCATCCTTTCATGACCACCGCAATGCAACAGGGAACTCATCCATCTCAAGAATGTTTTGCTCAAGTTACTTCCCAGCCAGATCACTTCCCAACCAAGTTCATCCATGGTTGCACTGACACGTGTGCTACAACAGCAACGGGAGGAAACGAGCCGCATGGGGAAGGGAGGAAAATGCTGCTGAAGTCGATTTATACATTTCTGCAATCTGCAAATCTAATTCGATGTTTCAGCTATGCCAGTCTAGCAGGCAGGTCCCACCAGAGCTGGCAGACTCACTTCTCCCCTCAGTCTTGATCTTCAGTCCCTATTCCCGGCATCTCAAGACCATGAGGCCACAGAGCTAAGTCGATTCAGCTGGCTGATCTGTCAGGAAACCGTTGTCTTCATCCAAATGAACTGATTCACCTTGTGGCCACATGAGCACTGTATTCCACAAAAAGGAAATATTAAGAATGCCTGGTAGGACCACATGTCTCAGTAGCAGCTTCACTTTAGATCTTGTTTGCTGTTATGCCTAAATGCACCCTGAACATAACAAACTAAAAGAAAAGTTACCTCATGTACAAGTATACAAAAGTCTCATCAAATAGCAAGCAAAGCCCATGATGGTAGAGCCTCTGATCTATGGACAACTGCAAAAATATCTGAAGCTACAGCTCTGCTGAACAGATGACAAGGGTTTCGTGTGTCCCTCACTACACTCTTCTCACTCTCTGCTTTCCACTGCCATCAACAGATTGCAATTCACTGTGCCCAGCAAATTCCTTAAACTCTTGGAATTCATTAGACATGTTACAAAGTGCGTTGACACAGTGGTATAAACGCTATCAAGTGTAAAACCCACAAGCTCAACCAATAAAACAGTATTTTGTAACTTACTGTAAAATTGCAGAATTATCCCTCCCTGTGGCTTCCCCTTCTTGCCTGTCTGCATGTGGGTGGCCAGAGCCGGGACCCTCAGATAAAATCCTCATACAGACATATACAGGCATTTGCACATAACAAGACGACTGAAATAATTCAAAATCATATTGATCCTGTTGCACACTCGACTCAAAACACAGTGATTCACAGTTAAATCTGCACGTGAGAGCACGTGAAGCAGAGCACGCAGCCCCCACTGCACTCAACACATGCTGACATTTCCTAAAGCCGCTAGATTAGCCGATGAAACCCATTAATAACTACACTGGTTCGTTTTACAAGCTTTAAGTTATGTCAGAAATGCAACGTGGTCCTTCTATCAGTAAAGTAAAAGTAAAAATATAAGAAACTAGATCCAGCTCCAGTGAATCATCCTGGATGCAGAGGTCAGCCAGCAAAGACAAATGAATAATGAAAATAAACAATCTGGCAACCCTTCAGCACACACATTCACGAAATGTATCAACTCTGAAAACATGTGACAAAACTAATTTGTCTACTTTTTTTTTAACACTGTGCAAGCTGGTTCTACTTAGTATTAATAATAATGTTTAATAATTCCTTATTCCCCAGCCATCTGGGATTAAAGTCTACAACAGTCTAGGCGAAGCATCCAACATAATCAAAGACTATAAAACTCTATAAATTTAGTATCAGTTTAAGCTATAATTCATTACTCCAGCTAATTTCTTTTTGAAGCCAGCAGGAATTTGCTTCAGAGAAAAAAAGAAAAACGAGTGTGCTAAAACTTCCACTATTATTTGGCCTGAGAAAAGGCGTATGAAGGGTCAGAACCATCACACGACTGGTAAATCAGAAAGCCTTTCAACTCCAGGCTGTCCAGGAAAAGATGACAGGATAAATACTGGAGGACGCTGCCTGGACTGTGGGAAGCAGCAACAGGAGGGACAGCAGGGGATGGACCTCACGGTGACGGTGGGGATTACCTGGAGAAGCCACCTGCTGCCAGGGACACCTGGTGCTGGGGCAGCTTCACCAGCAGCTTGGTGAGCACCTGGTGGGGGCCAAGATTATGGTGCAGAAAACGAGGGGGATTGACAGATACGTGACGTTACAAAACACACCCTGGTGGTTTCCACGGACAAACTGCTACCGGGCTGGGACAGACGGTGGCTCTCGCCAGGGAAAGGGTGAATGGGGGCAGCCTGACAATCCCCCCTCTGCCCTGGCCACGCCAGGACACTGATAGCTATTTCTCCAATTTCCATCCTACATATGCATGGTGGCTATCTGTCCTAAACAAAAAGTGGTTTTGCACACAAAAAAACCATCCAAGAAACAAGTAATTATATTAATTAATTCAAATCATTAAATATTTACACAGCATCTAAGACATAAGCAATCAATGAGTAAAAGATTCCTGGGAAACAGTAAACTGCAGAAATAAATTGGCACGGTAAGTGGACACAAACACATCGATCATCTCACGTCACCCCAGCAACTGTGTTTAAATGATATAATCCCAGTTCAAGCCCTTAAAGAAACAACCGATTCACGAGGGAAGTTGTTTGTATACTACAACTCTCCATTTACAGTAAAGAAAAAAAA